AAAATAAAATCTATAGATATAAAACAGTTCAAGCATATATCAATGTTTAAACGTTAAACCTAGATAAATGTGCGCTGTATCCAATAGTTTGCGCAGCGAGTGGAAGCTGAAGCGCGCTTTGCAGGACATAGAGGCGCCAGCGCGATCACTTCTTGATCATTGTTTTTCAGTGGATACACCGTCATTTTTGCTCATAAAGGTAAGAGTAATACTTCATTCGTAACTGTAAAGGGTCTACTTTTATTTGAGTGCACTCACAATATCAACAAAACGTTGTGCTTTTATAAAATAAAGAAAACAAACATGATGCGCTTTCTGCCGTCTCTTCTTTAACAGGAGCGCTTCACAAAAATGAACCGAAACTCAGCGAATACATGCCTCACAGACATGATAAATATATCTATAGAAAGCTTTAAATTACTACTTAACGAAATAAAACAAATCAAAAACTCTTTTATTATGATCATAATCCGTAAAGATGCACTTCTCTAAAGGCGAGTCTAATGAAGAGATGGCGAGTCAGGGTCGGCAACTTCATCCGACACCGACTCAGAAAACACTAGTTTATTAGTAAATAATTAAAATATCTCCTTACTGTTTCCCCCTGACACATTTATGGTAATTACTTTTGCCGATGCTTTGCGGCAAGCTTAAGCCTATTGCGTGCATTTGAACGCAGATCTCTTCAGCTGCGCTGACGGCACGCTCCATACTGCTGCAGCGGGACACTAAACACCGTCGAGCCGTTCTTGACAGTCTCGGTAGCACGGTCTCGTGTCGTTTCCACCAGCGCGGCAAACTTTTTTCATCACTAATTGATGGATGTCTAAAATATAAAAATAAGGAGAAGCCTAAAACAAGCCCGAGGCCCGGCCCGCGTCTGAACTATGACGTGAAAATTGTCCCGAAGCCCAGCCCGAGGGGCGTAAAAAAGTCGGGGCCCGTCGGGCCCGGGCTGAAATGCAGGGCTCTAGCTCTGATCTAGCACATAGAAAATGATTTGACTGAAAATTTATCAGAAGAGATTAAAGAAAGATAGTGGTCATCTACGCAATTCGGAAAAAGAGGCGGCTTTTCTGCATCAGGTATGTTTTTTTATTTTGTTTTTTTTTACTCTTTGTACAGCAGTTATTGTTCATTCTAAATTGATTTTTTAATGTAGAATATGTGTTACATAAATACATGAAATGTAGAACATATAAAAAAGCGCTCGTGCCCCCCCTGATTGTGCTGTTACTCCTTTCGAGCCGAATTTCACAAAATTGGGTGTTATTTATGGGGAGTAGAATTATTTATTTATTTCAATGAATGTAATCGATTAGATATCATAATATGTAGGCTATAATATTATAAATCAGGTTGGTTTATATAATATATATATTAGGGCTGGGCAAGTTAACGCGTTATTATTAATTGATTAATTATTTTATCGCGTTAATGCATTAATTGATTAATTATTTTATCGCGCGTTAACACAGTTTTTTATTATTATGAAAGTCTGTTTCTCACTGGGTCTGAATACACATACAGACGAACCATGGGTCACAGGAGGGGTGAGATGTTGATCAGTACTGGCTTGGGATGGGCGTCATCACGCGTCTCAACCAGTGAGAGCATTTGGGGACTGCAGCAGCACTCACATGAAGCGCTCACGACTTCATAAGTGGGAAATATGAAGTATCTGATAGCACGTGAAGGCAGCAGAGAAGCGCTCTCGCTCAGCACAGTGCAGTGCATCGTTTTGTTAACTTTGTGGTTTATTATTTTGAGTCGTTTGGGAAGCGGTAACACACACATCCCTCTCACAATATATTGCTTTACAGATCTATCACTTTTGCCTCTCAGAAATATTCACGCAATCATGCTGCACGTATCAGATGTTTCGCGCTCCGCTCACACTGCATGCGTACCGCGCTCTGGCCAACCTCTTCCAACCGAGCCAGGGCCGGTGTTCTGACGATTTGTGCTACCCGCTCAGATTGTGCTACCAGCATTTTATTCATATGGTTTGAGGCTTTTTTAATGTCCATACCTACCCCTACCCTTACCCTTAAAACAACGTAATTACATTTTTGGTAGCACAATCTGATAGGTAGTATGTTTCATCGGTACACCGGTTAAACGAACCGCGGCACGGAGCGATCACACTAGTCAAACGAACCGGGCTTTGGGGGTCAGACGCGCTCGGGCACGGTTAAGATTGCCTAGTGTGAGTACACCATTATTCTCCCGCATCCCGCACACACGAGTCTCTACCCGCCCGCACCTGCACTCTCCCATCTAGTGTTGTCCCGTGCCGCACTCTGTTGCGTTGGGTCCCGCGATAGTGCAGGCCTCTGCTCGGAAGATGCCTGTTATAATGTTATGATCGAGGCTCTGGACTCTGAGCATAACTTGTTTTCTATAACAAACTATAAAATATTTTCTATAAAAACCGTTAATGCCCTGGCATTGGCAAATAGCTTTGGTTTTATGTTTAATTTGATTACATTAATGTTATAAGTTAAGATTTACAAGAAATATTTCAACTGCTACTATGTAAAAGGAATAATGCTGTAAAAATATAGCAGTACTTTTAACTGAAAAAAGTGCACAATACACTACTTTTGAATTCATTATTGAATTTTGTACACAACAATGTGATTAATCACAGAAAATCATGCGATTAATCGCGATTTAAAAAAATGTAATCGTTGCCCAGCACTAATATATATATGTGTATATATAATAATTATATGTGACCACCCTGCATAGTTTGGATCATAAAAATATTAAATTGTTTATATGTATATATTGTATATATTTTAATGAGTTTGCACTGGACAGTCCAGCTGCATTTTCCGAATTCCAGGTGATATTTGAGAGAGTAGAGTTACCGTGACAACTGCAGCATCCTCAGACAACAAAGAGGACCGCTTGGGCATCCACTAACTCTTGTCTCTGTCTCTCTCATTTATTGCTAAGGTTAGTTAAAGTTATTAAATTTTAATGTCATACTACAGTTTACATGATTTAATGTTTAAATCATTTGTTTCAGTTCAATTTGCATTTGTATACCTTGAAAGGCTCAAGAAAATTTAATTTTTTTTAGATTATTTTCCCTGAAGGAAATGAAAAAACAGATCCCATGTTGATAATGTCATAATAAGCCACGTTGTTGACATGGGACATGCATATGAAAAGCATTTGTCATAATGCAAGAAAATAATTATAATGCTAAACAAGCATTTGGACATTGAAAGTCTATAACATGACTCAAGATAACAGTGATTACATTTCAGATTATTTTCCCTGAAGGAAAAAAAAACACACACCCCATGCACTCACAATCTTTACCTCTTACCATCTCTCTCTTCCTCCCCCCCCGGTTTTTTTTTTTTTTTGATTGCACATATTTACAGGCCATACATCACTACGGCTTCACAGCAAGTGCTAAGTAAGGTTTCGATTGCGCTCCAAGGAAATGCATCATCGTGAGTAAGCACACAGCAAATGCTTTTTTAACACGTCAGAAGCACTTAAAGGGGTCCTATTATGCTCTTTTACAAAGTCTTGATTTTGTTTTGGGGGTGTACTAGAACATGCTCTCATGCTTGGTGGTTCGAAAAATGCATTATTTTTCACATAATTTACATGATTAAAATACCTTTCTCCCCAGCCTGGCACAAACGGCTCGATTAGTTCCGGCTTTGATGAAGGTCCACCTTCCGAAAAACAAAATGTGTTGTGATTGGTTAGCTGTCCCAGTGCGTTGTGATTGGCGAACAGCTTAGACGGTGTTTCAGTACTGCCACGCCCCCTTGCTCCGTCTTTCAACAAAAGCTTTTTTGGCTTTTTCTGTACTCCCTCGTGTTGTGGAAGCTGTCCTCAGTAAAATGCGCAGCACACAATTGCAAATTGGGGTTATAATGCTCAGGAACAGAGTTAAAAAATAAATTGCAACCACTGTTTCCTGACATCATCCGCTTTCGGAAGCCCAAACAAAGACGTTTGGGCACGGAGGTGAAAGAAAAACAGCATTTGAGGCGGTTGCACACCGGACGAGAAGCGTCCCGTCTTTAAAATTAAAAAACTTCTTGGGCGTCTGTCCGCGGCACCCAGCTACGTCGTGTTATACTTGTAAGAATTGTTCTAGACATGCCGAAATGCTGACAGCACAGCAGCTCTTCTTCTTCGTTTTCTCTGATGCACTAACTCTGCTGCAGCACTTCTTCTTCATCGTCTCGTCTGATGCACTCACTCAACCAAGCGCTCTAACCACAACCTCGCCCCTCCCTACCCCCCAACCATTCGAATTTCTGTAGGCGGGAATTATTTGTAATGATATTCCAATGAGCCGCTTTGTGATATCACAAAGCCCGGAAAACAAACGCTGTAGTCCAAACGAGCCGTTCGTTGTAGTTCTTGAAAAGGGATTTTAAAAAAAACAAATATCTCCCTTTGGAGTGGACTTTGAGATTTGTAACTTTCTAGATCTTTTTTTATGCCAAAACATGCACACTACACACTGACTAAAATTAAAAAAGTGAAAAAGCATAATAGGACCCCTTTAAAAAGGCAGCCATCCAAACCTCCAAGCATATCCACCTTTTTCTTGCCATAAAAATGGGTGCGGCCATTTGTAAATTCTATGGGTCTATCTTTCGGTCTCATCCAGCTATTTTAGCTGCTTGACATTGCAAATTGGTGTGTCTTACCATATTATTTTAATGTATTATCTTAATTATGAACACACTGGTTTGTAGTCCAAACAGTTTTACCGTTTACTGCACGTTGTTATTCTTGTCATTATTTACCTATAGCGGTTAATGATCCGGAAGTCTCGCCCAATGGCTTACTTCCGCGTTGAAGAAAATGGTGGATAACCGATTCTAATATCTAGCCATGTTAAATTTAAATCAATACCTATCTAGCTTCTTGCCTTCTCCCAGGCTTAAAAACTCAACCTTAGCTCATTTGTAAGCCATCATAAATTGTGACAAACACAACAGCTGCAGGAATTACACAGTGGTGCAGTTGGTGGATGGTGCTGCTTCTGTCTTGCTCTTCATCTCTCTGGCCTCATTTGTAGGGCACTCAGAAGCCACCTGACAGCGGAACACCTGCTTATACGCCTGCCTGAAGTTCTCTGAGAGGAACGCATAGATAACAGGATTAACAGATGAGTTGCTGTAGGCCAGACAGTGAGCCGCAACACGGAGCACGAAGGACGCCTGGTTCAGGGGGAAGGAGCCAAACTCGACCCACAGGTGCACCACGTGATGAGGCAGCCAGGACAGGCAGAAGACCACCACAACCACCAGAACTGTCTGAGCAGTCTGACAACAGAAATGGAGAGACATTTTTGCTGGGTTTTTAACAACATGATCAACAATTGACATAAATATGTGTGGTCAGTGTAAATAATAATATAATGTAATACATATATAATATGAATGATTATATATTACCTTATAAAACATAATAAATATAAAGTATACTAAATGTAAAGTAATAAATATTAATTAAAAAAAGGACATTTTAATATTTGAAAAAAAAGCCCACCTGATATTTCTTACCTTCTTTTTTGATGCCTCAGACTTTTTGGAGACATTTCTTAACTTTTTATGCAAATGATTCAGGACCTAAAGACACATTGGTACATAATAGTTTGAAATGAAAATATGAGAAATGTTCCTTGGTATATGATTTGACACACACTTCTTGTCTGGATATAGGCTATAGTTATTGAAATATACAAAAAATAGTTGCAGATGAATTGAATACACCTCTTTCTGTAATTTCTAGAATTTATATTTATTTTGATACATTTTGTGATGCTTGACGTAAAAAATAGATCTTTTGTTGTTATTTATTTATTTAAAAACATATTTTAAATATATTAATAACATATGAAGACATTTTCTCAGCCAAATCAAAGTCAGTGTGGTGTAACCAACAGCAAGATGCCATTTTGTTTTCAAGTGACAAGATAAAACAGGAAAAAGTCATGATTTGTTCAGGTCAAATGGAAAAACTTGTGGAAAACAAATGAAAAAAAGGAGGGGGGGAATGCTTCTTTGTAAATTCTTAAATGTTTTCCTGTGTCTACTTTTTCACATTTTACAGTTGAAAGATTATTAAACCAACATGAATACAAAGAGGATATATTTCTAAGAACTTGAGACGTGTTTTAAAGTAAGATCCATCGTTTTAATTTTGGGCATTCTTATTCGTCATTAGATTCTAAAACAACCCCAAATTCCGTTTTGCATTAATAGAGATCATGATCAAGCCACATTAAATTCAAATACGCCTAATCAACCACAATTAAAGACGAGCCACTAACCTTGGCATAACAGAAAGATATCAGAATCAGCGGCAGCACGTATCCAAAGATAAAAGTGCACACCACGTAGATTTTCCTCTTGCTGTGATCTGGCCACACTTCCCAGCAAAACGTGCTGTTGTCCTCACTTTCCACGATGCCCTGGTAGTAGGCGACCGGTGTGGCCATGGCGAAAGAGAGCACCCATATGACCAGCACCCCGATCAATGCGTGCCTCCCAACTCGAATGGAAGAGGACTTTCTGCAGTGCACTATGGCGATATACCTGTCCACCGACATGGCTGATAAAGTGAAGATGCTCACCAACATGGACACGGTGAAAAAGTAGTGGATGAACTTGCAAATAAAGGCACCCAGGATCCATGTGGGCAGCATGTAAACTGTGGACTGAAAAGGGATGCAGAAGAGCAGATAGGAGAGATCTGCCACGCTGAGGTTGAGGATGAAGATGTTGGTGGTGCTTCGTTGCTGTCCAGGTTTGTGTTGAGCCAGAACAGTGATAACCAGAGAGTTTCCCAGGACGCCTAGAGTAAAAATGAGTCCAAAGATCAGAAGCGTGACGAAGTTGTCGGTGCCGATGCCAAATAAGGGTTTTTCAGGTGCCTCCAAGTCTATGTTGCCCTCAGGTCTGTCTAAATCACTGCTGTTTTGGATGTTCATCTTCAACGTGAGCTTATTTTGACGCTTCGTTGTGAAAAGGTATTCTGCACTTAGTTTTCTTGGTTTATTGATTCTCCAGAAGAGAAGGTTTGGTTGAAAAATCCTTTAAAGCTCACTGGAGTCCAACAACGATGGGGATTCAGCAGAAAGTGCTCATTCACGCGCATCACAACATTTTCATAACAATCAAAAAAATTTAACAATTCTCAGAAATGAAGTTTCTGATAATCCAGCTGCTTTGTCACACTGATGGCGCTTACAGATTCATGCTTTCACCCGCAGGAGCTCTTCTTGTGTTTGAGCTGGCGCTAGGTGGAGAACAGCTGCCGCAATCAAATATTGCCTTGTGTAGACGTCACTGAGACACCAGCCTTACATTTCCCAGCCTTACTCACCCCATCCTCTTACACTGACATGGGAAAAGCGCAGGCTCTATGATTCAAGAGTTTCCCCCTCTTTTCTCCACGGTTAGACCCCTTTTAACTCCCATACATGTATTGTATAGTGTTGGGGAAAGTTACTTTTAAAAGCAATGCATTACAATATTGCGTTACTCCATAAAAAGTAACGGATTACGGTACTTCGTTACTTTTTATGGAAAGTAATGCGTTACGTTACTTTTGCGTTACTTTTAAAATCTGGACAGGGCTTGCTTGTTTGTTTTTAAAATTAAAAAGTTATATTGTTGGCAAATATTTAAAAGCCTTTTCACACCAAAAGTGAAATGAATAAGCCTCAGGCTGAAGGGAAAGTAAATTTAAGTCCGTACAGTAGAATGCTGAAGAAGATATTTCAACACACTTCAGCAATAAAAAAAGACACGAATGTTTGTCTAGAGTAATTTGTGCTTATTATTATGGTTGAACTGGATCATCGAAGGTCAGAAGCAAAGACATTGGTTAATAAGAATGGGATTAAATACATAAAGGATATTTGTGTTGTTTAACATTTAATTATTGTATATTCTGAGTTGCATTATTTTTATTCATTTTGAGTAATACTGAATCAGTGTTTTTTTTTGTGAGTGAGATTAATTCATGCATATTCATATTTATTTTGCTACTTATTTGAAAAAGTAACTCAGATATTCTCTTGTAAATTAAAAAGTAATGCGTTACTTTACTAGTTACTTGAAAAAAGTAATCTGATTACGTAACTCGCGTTACTTGTAATGAGTTACCCCCGACACTGATTGTATACAGGTAATCAAAACTTAAAAGTTACATTGTAAGCGTTTTGTTGAGACTAATAATCAAAGGCTGTAGGCTATATTATAAGCATAATATGTTCAAAAAGCAAATTCAAAAAGCGTTTGTGAAGGGGTTGTCTATAAGGCAACCCTTACGAAAATTAACCATGGTTTTACTACAAATAAATCCAAAAAATCATATAGTTAAACCATGGTAACCACAGATTAACCATGGTTTTGCTACGAGTAACCATAGTTTAACAATGGTATTTGCAGTAAAGCCTGCATTAGCCTATATCTGACAAACTTATTGCAAGAACTGTCAATACATACTGAGGGAAAAAAATACATAATTTAGCCTATCAGTAGGCTACCAGGATTTTAAATCTGCAGTTGTAACTGTATGTGCAGTAAGCAACTGTAGGTAATGTTATGTATTTTTGCGTCCCCTACAGTTAAGTGAGTGGAATTCTCTGTCATAATTAGCTACAAGTCGATACAGTAGCTGTACAGTTGCGCTGCGTTCGAAATAGCATACTGTTTGAGTTCTATATTTGAATATGAATTAGAAAAATGATCTATGTGGTATGAATTATGGTAGCATGGATGAAATTCGGACATAGGCCTACTACTACATCAACCATGTTGTTATTGTCACGTGACCTGCAGCAGCGTCTTTGCGTCACTTCACTGCCATTCACATATCCTCTCCCGTGGCCTCATGGGATAGTAAAGTGTCCATGTGCACTTCAGAATCTCACCTGAAATAGTAGGTCAGCCATGTACTTTATGTCTACTGTTTTTTTAAATACTATGAATTCGTACATACTACTCTACTCGCCTCACATAGGCCTACGGGTTTTTTTTTTAGTTTGTTTGTTTTTTTGCATAGGCTACTATATAGTAGGGAAGTATTTGATTTTGGGTGCAGCGATGCATTTGTTGCCAGGATTAGTGGGATTTCACACCTGCTAATCAAGCATACATTTAGAACAGATGTTCAAAGTTCCTGTTCTCTCTCTCTCTCTCTCTCTCTCTCTCTCTCTCTCTCTCTCAGCTGAGAGGAATTCTTGAGTGTCTAATATATGAAGATGAATGATGTGATGTTCTGCAGTATTTTAGATTCACTGCTTTCTCTCTCTTTGTCTCTTGAGAATTTCTG